TTGACTCCAAAATAACAGGTATCTCACACTTGCTACTTTCTTCTCCGAGAAGTTCCACGGGCTGCTGACAGAAAACAAACCCATCTGATTCTGATTGAGTTGGATCAACTTCCTCGGTTATACCTTTAGTAACTAAAGTGGAAAAGAATGTCAGTATACAATGTCAACTCTCAAGAAAACTAGAACTTAGTAGAGGAAACACTACCAGCCTAACCTTGTACAGGTAGTCCTTGCTTACCAATAATTGGGACTGGGAGCTGTTGCTAAGCAATGCAGTCATAAAGCACAATGTCACATGCCCCACACTGACTTATACTGGCAATCCCAGTTGCTGTTGTTAGGTGAATCTCACATGACTGCAGCATCCCATGGTGATCACAATCATGTGATTGCCATTTGCACCCTCCTGCCAGCTTCTCCATTGATTTTACTTGTTAGAAGCTGGCAATGAATGTGGAATGTCATGTCATAATTGTAAGCTGGTTGCTAAGCATCTGACATGCAAACATGTGATTACAGGGATGCTGCAATGGTCACAACTTTGAGGACGGGTGGTTACGTTCCCCTCATTCACACTGTTGTAACTTTGAAAGAATGATTTTTGAATGAATAACTGTATGCTGCTTTTCTCAAGACCAGAAAAACTGATCTTGGGAGGCAAAGTCTTGATCTGGGTATTTTAAATATCATACTGACCTTCATTAATGGGTATTTCAGGCTCTACAAATTCACAGATATGCTGCTTGCTATTACCAGCCAAAATTACTTTCTCCCCAGTTAGTAGCTTGAAGACAAGGACTTCCAGTTCTGCTGTGACAGCAACATACCCTGCACAAAATGCAACTTCTGTTGGGGTGAACGTCTCCATGTGCAAAATTAAGGAACGCTCAAAGTCCAGCACTTTTACATCCTCACTCACAACTAAATGCTTCAAGTGGAATAATATCAACTTATTCTTGCAGCCAACCAGTAGGTCTCCTGATAAAGGGCAACAGGAGAAACATGTGGGAGGATCAGAAAGAGGTATTTCTATGATTGACATTTGTTCTTTAGAAGTCTCAGTATAGGAAGCTTCTGGGTTATGACCCTGCATCCGCACACAAACGCGTGAGCTGCCAGAGCACATGTATCTCCAGTTAACGTAAACTCGTAAGAAGAGGGTGCTGTGTTTCTCCTCAATAGCGGCCACATAATCTCCTGAAAAGCAAAAATTGATTTTGAAAAAAATTGGCCATAAACATAAATGCCATAGTGAAACATAGGAGTGTGTATAATCAAACTATAATGTGAACTAAGTTTAGCTCTTGAATTAGCTGGAAATTCCATCAGAAGATCATGCCAAATCCGTAACAGTGCCATGAGACATTGTATTTTGTGTTTATCATAATTAGCAAACTTGTATGTTACAATACCCTGATTTACTACATGGGGATTGTGTAACATCACCGACTGGTTAAGACTGTATTTATATGTCTGTTAAGAACAGTTAATATGAAAATCCTAGCACAGTGGTTCTCAACCTTTTTAATGCCATGACCCCAACCGGTCGTAAGTCGAGGACTAAACCGGTCGTAAGTCGAGGACTAAACCAGTCGTAAGTTGGGGACTAAACCGGTCGTAAGTTGAGGACTACTCAACCGGTCGTAAGTCGAGGACTTTCCCTGCCCAGGAGCGCCGCGCATGCGTGGCCGAGGCGTGCCCTGCACCGGCCGAGGTGTAGCTGGCAAGCGGCAGAGACGGAGCAGGCTGACCACCAGCTGGCCCAGCCCAAGGGAGGTAAGGCACCTGCTGGAAAAGGGAAAAAAAAATGGTGGACAAAAAAATGGCGGACAAAAAAAATGGCGGACAGCCTTGCTTGGCGACCCCCATGAAATGGTCGATCGACCCCAAATGGTGTCCTGACCCACAGGTTGAGAACCACTGTCCTAGCAGTTTATTAACAAGGATGCTGATCATATTGACTATAGATTATAGAATAAGGACTCTTAGACAAAGACTTGGCTCAACTATAAAACTCAATCTACTGGAAAGATAAACTTGTGATTACAGTATGAGGTTGCCTTCAAACTAAGCACTAATCATTAGTTTTGATATTGTGCAAACCTCATTGCTTTTTGAAGGCATGATTTACAGTTTACATTTGGGGTTCCTCAGTATGCTGCCTAGGGACACTAACAAGCCAATATTTATAACTGCCCTCCTCCTCTAGCTCATTCTTCTTTTAATTCAATAAGAAACTGGTGTAGGGCAAAGCAAAATGTCAGCCTCTAGCATCATCTTTGTTTCCAAGCCTGCCTCTGAACTCGTAATGAGTTCCAGAAACTTCGTTTATAAGTGCCTCTAACTTCCCAGGAAAAGTATCAAGGTACGAAGGGGAACAAGGGTGGTGGTAATTAACATACTGGAAATGATATACAGTAGTGGCCAAAATTGTGGAAACCTTTTGGGAAAAGTGTACAGTAGAAATGCCACCTTTGGTTAAGTTTCCACCAATTTGTCTTCTAATTTCTTTATAACTGTAGCCTTGTTCACTTAATAATACTATTTTACATCGCTTTCTGGGAAACCAGTCAACTCTTTGCACCATTACTTTAATTTTATTATGTTTTATAAGCTCACTAAATGAAAGAACACAAAAAACCCAACCGACTTGATAGCAATCACATAACACAGACAAATCTCCTCCTCTCAGCTTTAATACATGACATCAATAACTGAATCCTACTGTGATCTGATTGGCTCATTGCCAAAACAAGACGACACCTGATTGGCTCTCTAAACACTCATGCTCATTGGCTACAATCAGATGAAGGAAAGCTACCTGATATCAACCTAAGGAAGTTGTGCTTCCTTTTTCTGGTTCTTGTTCTGGCTATAACTTTTCATAGAATACAGTACAGATAATTGAACAAACTTTGTTGCATTACATTCTTGATTAAATTATCTTTCCATTGATTTATAATTTTATGGTACTGCTCCCAAAAAAGTGTTATTAGCCATCAAACCTCAAAAATACACTTTTCCCAAAAGGTTTCCACAATTTTGGCCACTACTGTAAAGGTTTATTATTTATTAAATTTATATGTCGTCCGACTTTCTATCTGCTTCAGTGTTTCTCAACCTTGACAATTTTAAGGCATGTGGACTTCAACTCCCAGAATTCCACAGCCAGCATTGCTGGCTGTGGAATTCTGGGAGTTGAAGTCCACATGCCTTAAAATTGTCAAGGTTGAGAAACACTGTGCTAACTCCTAAAGAGTTAGGTGTTTTCCCGGCATGATTTCATAAAGGAACAAGCCCTGAGGAATCAGTTGGCCACCAGGCCAACAATGGTCATACAATTCCATACATTTTTGTCTCGCCCATCAAGACAAGAAGCCTGGCTTCGCTTATGAGCCAACTTTCGTTTAGAAAGGAAATGTCTGTTCTTTGGAAAAGGCAGCATCTTTAGTGAACTGCCTTCCTTCCGTCCGACTCGGTTCTGGATGTCCAGCCGGGCTTGCGCTTACCCACTTCGCCGTACGCCATGGACAGCACTCGGCCCAGAGTACTGAAGGAGCCGAGTGGCTCGCAGAGTTCCGCAAACACTTCCACCTTGCAGGCGCCGGGGCCGCAGGCCACCAGGAGTACGTCGCGCCCGCAGCAGAAGAGCGCCGGTTCCTGCTTCAGAGGAACGACTTGCTGCGACCCAAACGGGTGCAAGTTGTAGACCTGCACCATGGCTCCAGCTAGCCCAGGCTCCCGATCCAAACCCAACTGTCTCCTGCGCAATCCTCGCCTCTGTAGCCGCTGCAAAGACTACCGCTTCCGCAAAGGGCACCGCCCCACGCCGGTCAGCTGGAAGGAGGCGTCAGTCATGCCCCCAATCCAGCCACCGCGAAGGCAGCTTCTCTATCGAAGGCTGCTTAAGCGACAGGGCTTAAGGCTGCAGCCTGCTGTGGTTTACCATCCGGAAGGTAAACCACAATGGTCAACTTCTAAGTAGAGTGCAACAGGATTGCGCGCTACTCTCTGTACAAGAGAGAGGCGTTGTCAGCCCAATCTTGCTCTCCGCCAGGGAAATAGTTCTCCCACTCCTAAAAGTTATTTTAGTTGGGATCGGGATTGCGCTTATTTAACAGTGAGAGGAAAGGCGCTTTAGACGTGCGCTCATGTACTCGGGAGGGATTCTTAAAGTATCTGTGGGAATATGTATTTTGCAAAGAAGTTACTACGGTATTCAGTTACTACGGTATTCAGTATGCAAAGAAGTTACTACGGGATCGTTACATTCCATTAACGGGCGCCACCATTTCTTTGGGTAATTGATTCTACGGTCATAATGAAGTTTTCGTAAAATGCCCAAGAGCAATTCAACTTTCTAATTTATTTTTAATCTCTGGGTAAAAAAAAATCTCAGTAACCATGGCAACACTAATAAACAGCTTATTCTAGAATTTGTCTTATTATTTTTATGGTTGATTGCGGTCAGCCAAATGCTTAGATTGGATTGGCATTTTTGTCTACCTATCCAGTCCTTCTTAAAGAATAGACAGGTAGTTATTTAACATTAAAGTTATCGTCGCAGGATATAAATTGTTTCGAATAAAGGTGGTTTTTTTTGCAATTGACTGATGATGATTTTTATCTATTCAAAGTTAACCGCTCCCATGACGCAGCTCCATATACACGTGATAAGTAAATAACGCCATGTGACAATCGAGCCGTCAAGACACGTACATATTTATATCTTTTGGACAGTCATTGTTTTCATGCCTTCATTTGTTAATTAACAACCACGGCCAGGTTATAAAGCCCATTACGCCCCTAGTACGCTAATACATTTTAAAACAACCAATAGAAACGTAGGCATACGGAGCTCAGAGCACCGACTGTCTCCGAGTTCCTTATTGGCTCAAACTTCTGGAGACGATGTCAGCGATTGGAGGCGGCGTCGCCGTGTTCGACCAAGGAAGATGCGCGCATGCTCTCTGGCAAAGCGAAGGCGTCGGTCGGTTTTTGCCACTCTCTGCAGTCTCCGCGGCCTGAAGGGAACGTTTGTAGCCTGTGGCGGCCGGAGCTGCGTGGTGTTGTCGGGATGGCTTGGAGGTTCCTGAGGTGAGCCTGATATCCAGAGATACCAAGCATGTAACGAAGCGGAACCTTTTAGCCGGGTTGGCTCCTCCGTGGGGAATGAGGCCCCGCTGAGGCCGTGAACCGAAGCCTTGGGGGGGGGGGGGTCGCGTCGAAGCACCGCTCGGCAAGTAACGGTGTTGTTGTTCTTGCGCTCTATTTTTTTGACTCTTTCGCTTCGTTCTGTTTTCTTTTATTTGTGGTTCATTCCGTAAATCATGGCTAAATTATCCTCTAGTTAAACAGTGTTTCTCAACCTTGACCATTTTAAGGCATGTGGACTTCAACTCCCAGAATTCCACAGCCAGCGTTGCTGGCTGTGGAATTCTGGGAGTTGAAGTCCACATGCCTTAAAATGGTCAAGGTTGAGAAACACTGATCTAGTAAATAGATCATCTGGTTGTGAGCGTGTGGATATCTATGGAGATTCTCAGTCTTCCAGGTCGTGGTTGTCCCAAAGGTATTTTTTTCAAAAGGCAAACTGGACTTTTTTTTCCCCCTTGAAGACATTTCGCTTCTCATCCAAGAAGCTTCTGACTGAATGGTGGAGGAGAATGGAAGGATTTATATTGCTTGCAGCAGTGTTTCTCAACCTTGACAATTTTAAGGCATGTGGACTTCAACTCCCAGAATTCCACAGCCAGCAATGCTGGCTGTGGAATTCTGGAAGTTGAAGTCCACATGCCTTAAAATTGTCAAGGTTGAGAAACACTGGCTTACAGTCATCTAGTCATTGTCACTGAGAGTCGTTGAGGTCACTTGGGGGTTTATCTGTGCCCTCAGGGTCACCTGAATCAGAGTGCAAATGGGTGTGGAATCTTTGTGGAACTGCTGAAAGGACACTCCACCATTCATTCAGAATGGAAGAAACCTCTTGGATGAGAAGCGAAAAGGGGGAAAAAGAAAGCAAAATATATGCAGTACAACTGTAGTGAGATCTGTTCACTGGAGAAGTAGAATAACCACTTCACAAACACATGGCACAATAGGAGAACAAACCCATCAGGACAAGACTCAGCAGTCCATCTGCATTTGAAAGGCAAAGGTCACTCTTTTGAAGACAGCAAAGTCCATATCCTGGACAGAGGGGACCACTGCTTTGAAAGAGATTGAACAGCCCTTTCAACAGAGGGGGTGTTTACAACACAGTCTTTTCAGCAGTTCCAAGAAGGTTCCACATCATTTACATTATTTGGGTGACCCCGAAGACACAGATGTGGCCTCAACTGTTCTCAGAAAGAGTGCTAACGACTGCAAAGAATATAAATCCATCTTCCACTATTCAGCTCTGAACTCAAGAAGCTTCTTAGATGAGAAGTGAAACGTCTTCAAGGAAAAAGTCTAGTTGCTTTTGAAAAAAAAGTACCTTTGGGACAACCATGATCTGGATGACTGAGAGTCTCCATAGATATCCACCTTCTCACAAATAGACGGATTTCTGAGTGTCATCAGTGCTCCAGATCAATGCATTATTTTCCCCAGAATGTTCATAAAGTTAAAATGTAGAGAAAGAGCTAAAACCTGAGACAGGCCAGAGTGACTGGGAGACACATAACAGACACTAATAAGATTTTAAAAAGTTGATTTTTTCCCCCCTGGAATTTTTGAAGGAATAGTGGACTTTCAAAACAAAGTGAGATTGAACAAATAGTCCATGTTCTCCTGCCTAGCTCTTAACAATGTATTTTTGCCTGTTGCATTTATAGAAAAGGGTTGAAAGTTGATTGTGTCAGTTGAAAATCCAGCAGTTGCATTAGCATACAATTTGTAATTGTATGTAATTTAGCATACAATTTATGCTAATTGTATAATCTTAAGAGTTTTTATGACAATGCATTTTTTTTTAGCATGCTTGCTCACTTCACAATTTGGTATATAGCAAAAAGGGAGAAAGTTATCCAACTCCATAACATCAGGCTAGTGAAAGTGGGGTTTATATATATCTTGTAATAGTTTCTCCTGTTAGTGTTAGTATGGGTGTTTTTGGTAATTCCTTGATTAGGGTATTGTTTTCTTTGATTGTTTAGTATTAATCTCTATCTGGGTATTGCAGAGCATGTATTGTCTTTTTGTTTCCTTCCTTTTTATTGTCTTTTGAATGGTGTGTAAATGTTTATTTCTATGTGTCTGTTGATGGCTGATTTGTCTATGGCAAGCTTCCAGAATTCCTAGGGTGTGGTTTTTTTATTTTGGCTTGTCTAGGATGTTCACAGAACAGCAACTGGGAACAACAATAGTTCTACAGGGGTAGTTCTCAAGCACCCCTCCCTTGGAGTGCTTATGATCCAAATTTAAGTTCCAAGACTCATGCCTTCCTCTGATCACATGACCACACTTTGAGCATTCAGCAGCTGTTTGCAACATACTGTGGTCACATGAGTTTTAAATGATGGTTTTGTCACAAACCATTTATTTCCAGTTTTTGGCAAAACTGTTTGCATAGTGACCCATTCGTTTTGTTAATGACTATGCTATTTACTTAATTACCACATTGTTTAATGACCACTGCAAAAAAGCTCATAAAATTGGGTCAGTCATGAAAATTAGAAATGGTTCAACTATAAAACTAAGCATCCTATACTAAGCTACTCCCCGCATGTACCCCCCTCTTTTTGCCTAGAAATCCCTGGTGCTCTTCCATCCAAGTAATGATGTAGCCTAACTTTAATTTCCTGTAAAACAAGGTACCTGATGAGTTACTAGGAGAAAGATAAATCTAATTACTAATTTAATTATCTAATAATGAGAACTTGGAGGGATTGCTTGGTAATGGACTGCTTGAAGAATAAATTAGCCAAGTAATTGTGTTTGCTTTTAAAAAGTTGTCAAATCCAAACCTTGAAGACCTAAAATAACTTCCTATATAAAAATTGTTTTACCTTGTCTCCCCCCCCCTTTTTTTTTTGTAGAGACTTCTCATTGGAATTGGATCCTGCTTTGTATGGAGATAGGCATTACAATGTTTTTACCCGTGAATTTTATCCCAGCTTAGAAGATATGGGAATTGTTACTTCAGGGATTGATGAAGACATAGATTCAGCGGTATTATTTGGAACTTTGCGAGGAAATGTGGTTGGTTTACGGTATTATACTGGTGTGGTAAGTTCAGAATGATGAGAACTGGTGATATGAAGCTCTAGCTTTGTTGAGATTGAAAAAAAACCTGTTTTAAAAATTATTACTATCTTGAAACACTGGATCAGTTCATGGGCCACACAAACTATGGTATGTTTTTCCAAGTGTCAGAGCAGTGAGCAGGTGCCCAGATAATTGCTTTTTTTTTGGATTCAGAGACAATGAGCGGTCCAATAAATAAAGGGGTTTTAAGTTTAATTGTTGGCTAAAAGCATATCATAAATAGCATACATGCAAAGCAAAGGTGACACCCAGGCTGCCAGGAGCTCCTTAATAACAACAGCAGAGATATCCCATGGGCAGCTAGTTTCCACAATACCTAGTGCTCACTGGGTTTCCTGCAGAAGCTGCCAACAAATAGCAACAATCCCACAGTTTTATTAAAACTTGGCAACATGACTTCATGGCCCTGCTATAGTCAGGAGACTGCAAGACCTGACCTGACTCTGGGATGAGAATCAAAAGTCAGAGTTTTATGGCAGGAAAATCTTTGAAGCTATGTGAAAGTTTCTTCTCTCTTCCACCTCCCCTTCTCCTTAGTTCAGCAAGCAAGAGTGAAAAACAGGCTAGCTCAGAATGAGCTCTAAACTTAACTTTTCTTAATGTGAAAGAGAAATAATATGTCACTAATTTCTTGCAACTATAATGATCTTCTGCATTGCCACTACATGGTGTAGTTTGTTTAATTTGGATTTACTATGTTATATGAAGCCAGAAAATATAGCTTGTAATTTATGGTATTGTATGCTATACAAATCAGTAGATAGTGATTAAGCTACAGCTTAATGTTATATGTGAACCAAAATTTGTGTGCTTATCAGTAATTGTCTGGAAATTGTAATTGTAATTGTCAGATTATTCCCATTTTAGCATGCAAGTAATATCAAGAAAAACAGCTGTCAGTTCAAATGTTAATAGTTATCTATAAAGCCTAAATAATTAAACATTGCTTCCGCAGTACCATTAATCCATGAAGTTTGCAAGGTCCTGTTATGATCCCACAAATTAGATTGGATGACAAAATATAACTAAGAGTAGGGCCTTTTGGATAGAATCTATTATTTAAAGAAAAAAACGTTTTGGTTAAACATTTAAGAATAATTTAGCAGTCTTTGTGTCTGGTTTAATTGCAAATATTAATTTTACAGGTCAATGATAATGAAATGGTGGCTCTCCAGCGAGAACCTAATAATCCATATGATAAGAATGCTGTAAAAGTAAACAATGTGAATGGTGATCAGGTAGGCCATATAAAAAAAGAACTGGCAGCATGCTTGGCTTATATCATGGACAACAAATTGGCAGTAGTGGAAGGGTAAGAATTCATTTTGAATACTATTTCTCCCCCCCCC